AAAATGCTTTTTTAAAAATCTCGTTATGATCATTTTTTACGAAGTTACATTCTTCTGAATTTTGACCTATTTTTGAGGTGGACTTAAGTGATCCTTTAATTTTTTTGCGTAGTGTATAAAAACTGAAAGAAGTATTAAAGATGACTAAAAGATATCCAAAGAAGTCATCTTTTAGTTATCATATGGGTAAGACTATAAGATGACTAGCAGTGCGACATCTGTCGTCTTTTAGTCATCTTTTCGTCGACTATGTTCTTTCACTAAAAAATATCTTTATAACAATTTAGTTGTCTTCTAGTCATCTTTTAGACGACTTTGTGCTCTCTGGGTAAACAGTCAATAAAATGAATAATATGTAAGTTTGCCTGTTTCAGCTGTATTTTATAAGTTTACGAGAAAAGATATGTTTTCACATGTGGGTTTGAAAGCAAAGAAAACAAAAAGGAAAAATCTCGTATACGTGAATATTTTTTATATTAAGGGGATGCTGGAGTCTTCTTTTTTACCGATAAAGCAAGCGTTTATGTTCCTTGTGCGGTTCTTCGAATTAGTTGCACAGAATAAAAATTCCTTCTCCACGATTGAAATATCCGTGCTAATGTACCTGCTCCTGGTGTATTTAGTGTCCAAAACTGAGAAAAATAATAAATTACAGATTCCTGTATCCATGTGCTATCAGCTCACCAAACATTTACTTCGTGAAAAAATTATATTGTTATATGCTCGAAATTAGGGCAGGAGCACATGTAGAATAAATAGACGATTACAATCGTATCTTTAGAATTAAGTTTTGACGCCTAAATAAAAAGATTAGCGCAAGGAACGAAATTGTGTGTCTAGCGCGTGAGAAATCGACGATGTATGACTGTTTAGCCATGAAACCGAGCAGTATTTTAATTGATCACTTTCTAAGAGATGGCGTTGCAATATGTTAGGTAAGGACATTTGAATGCGTTGAGTGAGACACAACGATATATAATAAGATATATATATAAGAAATGAATGAAAGATGTCACTATTGTCGAATCCCTTAAGGGGATGCTGGAGTGACGGTCGAAGTTAATCAAGGTCGATAAAATCGATTTCGTACCGTCCGTTTACGCTCTCTGGAGGCTCAGGTTTTCATTACTTGCACGCGCTATGAGTGCTGTGAACACTCACGTTTCCACACACTGATTGCGCAGTCCATTCTCTATGGCTTTGGATTCTTCATATATACACCGACGAGATATTATTAAAGAACCCTGGGCAAATTTTCGGCGGTATAAAAAGGGCCCCAAGGGCCCGGAGGTAATTCAAGAACTCTGACATTACCGACAATCGATATAAATTTGCTATTATTAACATAAATATTTGGCTCATGCATTATTAAATTCATGATTTTTTATTACATAAATGTCCCATAAATAAATATACATACTTGTAAAGCTGTAATATCCTATATATTGCAAAAAATCTCAATTTTTTCTCTGCAATTATCATCTATTTATTGATAATCAAACTTTGATGATAACACTGAAATCTCAATTTTAAAGAAAAATCGAGTATTATTGAGTTATAAATGCATAAATACATCTACTAAACTAATGAATCATGAAATTAGTACAATATTATCAGTTTTTAACTCTTAATCACTTCAGTATTCACAAGGACGGAAACTCCCGTAAGGATGGCGGTCTTTAATAGTATCTCGTCGGTGATGACAGAGATGAACATATATAAAGAAATGTACCCAGACAGCACAAAATACTAAAAGATAACGAAAAGAGGTCTTTTTTAAGTCGTCTTTGTGACAAAGCAAATAGGTATCTAAAAGATGACGAAAAGACATTGTTTTTAGATTATCTTTTCAGCAAGATCAAAAGATATCTATAAGACATCTTTTAGCTTTGTCGAAAAGACAACTTAAAAAAGATATCTTTTCGTCATCTTTCTATGGTTGTCATTTTCGCAAAGCAAAAGGTCGACTAAAAGATATCTTTTCGTATTACCGAAAAGACAACATAAAAAAGATATTTTTCTGTTATTTTAGTACTTTTTATAACTCATTCGCGAGCAGTACGCGAGATCGCCACCAGATGGACGTGATGGAGTTCAGTCTCTCGTGTATGAAAATCATACAGGACAGAATAAAAGGTGCAGCATAATGAAAAATTTTACTCGTGTTCTAATGAACACTAATAAAATATTTTTTTGTAATCGAGTCCCCAAAGGGGACTATGATGAAAGATAATGACGTGCACATAGGACACGGCAAACATTGCAGGAAACGTATATTGTCGGTCATGCAATTTTATTTCGTTTTGTGTAAAAATCAATTTAGGAATTCGATGTATTAAACGTTATATATAATATCAAAATATAAAAACTAAAAGAAGTATTAAAGATGACTAAAAGATATCCAAAGAAGTCATCTTTTAGTTATCATATGGATAAGACTATAATCAGTGCGACATCTGTCGTCTTTTAGTCATCTTTTCGTCGACTATATTCTTTCACTAAAAGATATCTTTATAACAATTTAGTTGTCTTTTAGTCATCTTTGAGACGACTTTGTGCTCTCTGGGTAAAAGATAAAGGAATAGATTATATTTATTAAAATACAAAATTATGATCTTTTGAAGAAGTTATTCTTTTCGTTGGTAATAAATTATGACTGTTTCTCTACTCTACTCTACTCTACTCTACTCTACTCTACTCTACTCTACTGTACTCTACTCTACTCTACTCTACTCTACTCTCTCTCTCTCTCTCTCTCTCTCTCTGACAAATAATTAGGTGATTTTAATTCAAAAATAAATAATAATAAATGTTTATGAATATTTATTATAAATATTCTGTGCTGTCTCGGTTATCTTGGACATTTTTTAATATATGTTTATCTCCGTTATACTATATGTGTACTTATTTGCGCAATATATGTATAATTTATAATATGTAACACATTATAAATCATGAATATATAGATATAATAAATAATAAATATATAGATATGCAGGAATATACAATTTTATATGCAACAGGAAAAAAACACAATAATTTCTACATAGTTTGTCAGTAACTCTATTTCAAGCGCGCGCGCGTTACCGACTCAGCGTCGATAAGTCAAGCCACTACTATGACCCAGCGAATTAATGCTCCGCACTGTATGGCACTGTACACCATATGATAGCGATATATTCTTGATAGTTGCACTTTTTATCTTCCCTCTTTTTCTCTTCTAATGCTCAATTATATAATTATCTCATTTCGAGAGCAGAAAGTGTAATATAATGCAGCGACGAAGAATAGCATATAAAACTTTATATGATAGCAAGTGTTACTCGCTGCCAATCGTCATATATCGGCGTCAAAGTACTCAATGGAAACCTGGGCTGGTTTCTGCACGAGATCTATTATCGACAACGTTGTCTTCCATTTTACTGGTGATACGCATAAAAATTCTTCTGTAATGAAAGTAAATAGCGAGAATTTGTTGGCAAATGGAGAGTTGTATTTTCTGTGCAATTTCAAAGCATGGAGAGATCTTTTGACTTGCTCCAAGGGTTGCACAAGCATTCTGCAACATTTTGCACACGCACATGGTGCAACGAAAGGCAATACAGATGCGGATGTGGCTGAAGAGGTGAATAATATTCGAATGTCAATATTAGAATGTTTATATCAAAACTAGTTTACTCCAACTCTACAGATTTATGTTAACAGTACTTTTATATTTATTTTCTGCATACATATTATCGCATATAAAATGTTGAAAATTTATCTTTTATGAAATGTTCTTATAAATAGATATCTAATAATCAAGCATTATGCCGTATTTATTTATAAATTGTAAAATTTCAATAGATCTTTAATCAGCTAATATTAAAGAGCAGTAGCTGGCCAATAAGGATACAACGATGCATGTTGCAAAAGGAAAGGATTTGTTTGTTTCTAAATCGAGGAGATATTGTTGCAAACAGTATAAGAATGGCTATCGAGTGTGGGATAACATTTGGAAAAGCTAAGTCGACTGGTAAAATATTTATATTGAAGTATCAACCTGATGGACAATCGGATCTTACTACTCAGAGGTTGCGTTTAATGAGAAACATTGCTGCCAAAGCATTGAGTCTACATGGACATATGTTGTCAACTGAGGCAAATTATGCCGACAGATACATGTTCACTAGCAAATCAGAGGGATTGATTGATGAAGGATACAAGAAGTACATTTGCGGTGTTGTAAAGAATTCTCAAACAAATTCAAAAGAAATATGTCTTACATGGGAACAATATATACAGTACAAAATAAATCAATTGGCCGAATTAAGTGAGCACAAATTTATTGAGGATGAGAAGAATGATGCTAAAGATTTATTTCTGCACAATTTAGCCAATGCCATTATTATTTTCGAATTAATGGCTGTGAAGCCAAGTCGATCGGTTATTATTAGAAGCAATAATTTTGAAGATGACAGAAGCATTACAAATACTAGAGGTATATTTTATATTAATAAATTACTGATTGTTAATAAATAAATATTTTTTTGATAAATATTATTTTAATGTGTTGTTATTAAAAATGTTTCTATAAATATTCAAAAAATGTTTAATCCTAGTATCAATTTTATTTGATAAACACAAACAATTCTTTGTCTGAAAGGCATATACCACGAACACCAGGTAGTAGTGGCGATTATTACATTTCTTTTATTAAACACATGAATTCAAAATAATTATTTTGAATTTAATAAAGTTTAATAAAAGAAATGTAATAATCGCCACTACTACCTGGTGTTCGTGGTATATGCCTTTCAGACAAAGAATTGTTTGTGTTTGTTGAACCACGGTGTATTTATAATTTAATTTTGTTATTTGATAAATATGCATGATAGAGACAAATAAGAAATTGCATTCAAGTAAAAACGTTGTAATTATCGTAGGTGCGTCATTTGCATTATACAACACTGCCAGGATAGCTACAATTATAACAAAACACAATGAGAAGGTATTGCGTGGGGATTATCCTAGTTTGCCAGATATAAAAAATGTCGATTTCTCACAATTGCAAGAAAAAGTAAGTATAGTTCTTTGAATTTTTTACACTTTATTTTATATTTTCCTAATTTTGCAATATTTATATATTTTTTTTAGAAAATTGCTCATTTTTATAAACTTAATTCGACATATTTATACATTTAAAAACCATAAAATTCACCAATCATCCAAATTTTGACATTTTTTCAAAGAAAAATTGATTTGCCTAGGAAGAATGGGAGTTGATATATAATTTTATCTTTGGATATTCACAAATGATAAATGATTGTCTGAAGTGCGAACCAAGTTTTCATATTTATCCCCAAGTTGTGTGCTTGTTCTTATCACGATTATGCCAAAAATTCAGTGTCTACTATCGAAAAGTCAGAATTTTAACGGTAAGAAAGAACTTTATGTTTGTAAAACTTTTATACTTTACATGTTTTTATATCGAATTATTATTTTATAAATTTCAGGAAGGAGGTAATCATTTGATTCCCAAGATGGTTGCCAGATTGTATATGTTACGTGCATTGTACGTCATCTTTGAGAACGCCCTGGACATTTTGGGCATCAAGCCGGTATCTCGAATGTGAAATGATTTTATGGAAAAAAACTCAATTTTATATTTTGCTTAATAAATAAAATTGTTACATTTGTGATTAAAACTGTAGTCTTTTCATTTTTATGTTTGAAAATATTTTCTCGAATCGTAGCATTTTTATCTTATTTATTTTTTATGCTCATTTTTATTATACCAATGTAGAGTAATTATTTTAATCTTGGTTAAATGTAGCTATTTTTATCTTCCTCTAGCTTTAACTCTAAAAACTAAAAATAGATAAAAAATAAATTAAACCAAAATTAAAGTTAATCTAGGACATATTATATTTCACGTATAATATGTATAATGCATCACTTATTATTATTTAATATCCAGCAAACAAGGAAGATATAAGACCACTAATTCCACTAATTCCACTAATTCCACTAATTCCACTAATGTAAGTCATTGTTAACTTTAATCTCGGTTCAATTTAGTCTTTAGGTCTTTACATATCTTCCTTTAATTATAAGAATTAGAAAAAGGTAAATAATAATTAGTTAAATTGAGATTAAAGTTAAATCACCTTACACTGGTGAAACCGGATCTAATATCCGTTTCTACCAATGTAATTTAATTTTTTATCTTTTTCTAATTCTAAGAATTAAAATTTATTGGTATATAGAATTTCCAGTAAACGGAGAATGGATTGAAATGGATTAAGATGGATTTAGAAATACATATTCCTCTAAACGTTAAAATAAATCCTATTCAATCCGAATGCATTTTTATACATTTACAGGAATTGTATTATTGAAGCACATTTTTATGCCTTTCAATAAAAAAATGATATTAACTTTTTCTGTGCATCGTGTATAATGTTCAATTCAAAATTCTGATAAATGTACGAGTTTTTCAATTTAAAGCCTTTGAATCTAGTAGCATTCAATCGAATCCAATTGAATAAAAAAAAAGTTCTTTTTTTATTCAATTGGATTCAATGGGCTTAAAATATACGCATAAAAATTTCAATCCATTTTTAAAATCTATTCTCAATTATACTGAGTCTGGGCATAAATAAATATATGATGCGTAAAGTAAAATGCACCTCTGCATTGATAGACATGAACAATGTTTTCTTCTAATTTCCACGTATTCATTTGTATTTCAATATTCTCTCAATTGAGCGCAAAATTCGTTGAAATTCACTGAAAGAATGGAGCCATGGAGCAACGCGGAGCGTTGCAGTGGAGCGGAGTTGAACGGAGTCGGGCACGTTCGGGCTCGCTCGGGTCCGTTCAGCTGCACTCGCTCGGCGCTCGGTCGGCTCGGCCCGCTGGAGGACGACGACAGCGGCGACGCTGGGCGGCCAGCTGTTTGTTTTGTTTTCGGGCATGAGATTCACGTGACAGCCGGCGGGTGTTGGTGGCGGCACGCGACTATCACGTTGAGATATGTTACGGTAAGGACGA